CTATCTAGTTGCAGTTAGACCTAGATGAATACAGCAGTGGTCAGCTTCACAAGGTGTTCAGGCTTAGATGGGACAAATACCCTATGCAGGCAACCTGGGTTCAATTCCCAGCTGCACATATAACAGGGGCGGGCAATTATTTCAGGCAGAGGGCTGCTTACTGAGTTTTGGCAAGCCATCGAGGGCCACATGACAGGCAGCCAGGGGCAGATAAATATTAATTTTCTAAATTTTTTAGGGGCCCCACAGGCTGGGTAGAATGGCCTGGTGAGCCAGGGGCCCCACAGGCTGGGTAGAATGGCCTGGTGAGCTGTATCAGGCCCACTGGCTGCATTTTGCCCACCCCTGACATGTAACTACAGCCTTCAAAGCACTGAATGTCCAGACCAACTACAGCCTTCAAAGCATTGAATGTCCAGACTTGGTCTGGCTTTTGGAGTCTGTCTCAGTGGTCTAAAGTAGGGATGGAAGGTGTTGGCAGCCTCCACTCCTCCATGCTCCTGCCTAGGTCCTAGTTGCTTCTCACACATGCACCACGATCCAGAAGGATTGATGGGTGCCTAATACAGCTAGGTTGAAAATTCAGCCCCACTTCTTCCTACATTTTCCCCAGGGAGGACTAGAAAGGGGAGTCCACACGGTTCTCCGCCTGCTCTTCTCACGTCTTTTCCTAGTCCTGAAAATTAGGCCTTTGTCAGTGGCTCTCAAACTTTTTTCGACTCAAGGCCCCCCTCAAAAATGTCAGTTCTTAGTTTTCATTTAATTTCTGGCTGCAGAAAGATAATGGAGCAGCTCTTGTGTTGTAAATAATTCAGCCCACAAGTCAGAATGGTTTTGACACTGGCTTCCTGTTTGAAATCTCTGAATTTATCTTGTGAATCATGTTTGCACGCTTACCAGTCTTAATATTTGCATGGCACCCAAAAGCAACCCAGAATATCATGGCATCCTGGTTGAGAATCACTACCCTACATTCACAAATAAGATGGCCATCATACAGAAAAGTCCAGTTGTCCTCTGTCCTCTGTTGATACAAAACTGGACACCTTTATGTCCTCTATTTCAAGAGAAAAATAGAGGACATAAAGGCATCTGGTTTTGTATCAACAGAGGACAACTGGACTGTCCTCTATGATGGCCACCCTATTCACAAAACACTGTTGCAATACAGCTAACAAGTGACTTTAGAGCATGGTAGAAAAGAGGAATTTTTGACCAGAGACAATGGAAGAAAAACACAGAGGGCCAGACATTTTAAAGGTATTTAGGCTCCTAACTCCTATTGAAATCCAAGGGAGTTAGACACCAACATATCTTTACGAGTCTGGTTCCAAGTCATTCGCAAAGCACCACAGATCACATGGAGCAGGTGGGATCTCATTGTGCCTTGCCATCTGGAAGATGTCAGAGTAAACTTCATGGGACTCATTTGTTATCCACCTTGGAAAGATGAGAGGACAAAGGGACATTGCTGAGATCTGCTTCTGTAAATCTACAGATGTTCTGGACACTGTTACTATAGCAGGTTTTAGCAGACCATTGGAGCCAGAGGCATTATGGGCAGTAATGTTAAGTACAGGCTGCTCGGCAGGACTGGGCCAGTTGACAGAGATAATTAGCGGCCACAGGAAGTTAAAAGGCTCCCAGGGAGGAGAAGCTGGGGAGTCAGGCAGACCGAAGGTGAGACAGAGTGGCCTGGCCAGTGGCTACAATACTGGATATGGGACTCTCAGGGTCTGGGGAGAAACCTAGGGGTTGTAAGACTGGGAACAGTAGCATCATGACAGAGACATAAGTCACAGCCAGCCCAAGAGGAAAGATTGCAGTGAGTATTGACTATAACCCTTCGAGTATTGACTATAACCATCGTGTAGAAATAATGATGCTCACTTTACGGATAAGGAAACGAGGCATTGAGGCTTGTCCATACCAGGTCAGTGAGAGATCCAGGACTAGACAGAGCCAGGCCTTCTGGCTCCTAATCTGATTAGCCAGGGCATGGCATGGCCTTCCAGAATTGCTGAATATTAGAAATGTAGAGCTGGAAAGGACCGGTCCAACCACCCACACTGAAGCAGGTTCAGACATAGGTAGATATTGTCTAACCCGTTCTTGGGAACCTCCAGTAAAGGCGTTTCCACATATCTAGGTAGCCTGCTGCAGGGGTTTTCTGATTTATAGTTGAAAAGCTCATCCTATTATCTCATTTAAATATTTTTTCTTTTAAATCAATCCAATCTCTTGCCCTTCCCCCAGCGGCAGGCGAGAATAATTGATTGCTATCCTCTTTATAACACAGTGAAGGACTGTTATGACCCTCCACCCCCAAGCTTTCTCTTCTTTTACTGATGCTTTCAATATGTCTTCAAAATAATGTTTTCAAAACCTTTGATCATTTTTGCTTCTCTCCTTGGACTATTTCTAATTACTCTTAGCTGTACCCAATGGAAACTGGTAAGAAAATGCCTCTAACAGTGGACTTCCTCACATTCTCCTCTTTCTTGAATGGCATTATCCTTAGCCCATCAGCTCTATTCAGATATGTGCAATTCCTAGGTTGCACCCTACATGCAATTATTGTCGCATGAACAATGATGCACAATCTGTCTGCTGGCAATGAAACCAGCCCAGTCTTGCTTAAAGCAGATGAACTGGATTTAAAGACCACAACTGCAGCCTCAAATCTGGATGGTGCAAAGGAGCCCTAACACTCACCTTATCAGCCAGCTAGTTCCTTCAGGGAACAGACTTTGAAAGACATTTAGATGCCAGGCTCCCACTGTCTTCAATGGGTGATAGATATAGGATGTAAGACTGGAAGGGGCTTCCTGGAGCCATTAAGCCCAATCTCTTATGTTTGCAAGCAACTGTTTAACAATTCCTCAAAATCCCCACTTCAAATCTTATGCACAACTACAGGGGGGAAGACCAGAAGCAACCTACAAGAGGTGCCTGCAACTTCTCAGGTGAGGTGGGCCAATTAACAGAGCTAAGTCTGAAGGTTGGCTGCCATTTCCAAGCCAGCAGCCCCCTTTTCTTGCTTCTGGCTGACACTCCTGAATTGCCACTAACATCCCAGTTTAGTGCACTGGATGCAATTGCATCAGGCCCATAGGATCATGGAAAATGAGGGTTGGAAGTGACTTCAGGAGACCATCTAGTCCAAGTCCCTGCTGAAAAGCAGCACCATCCCCAACTCTATCATCCCAGCCAAAGTTTTGTCTAGCCAGGCAGGTCTTAAACCTCCAAGAATGGAGATTTCACAACCGCTCTGGGTAATAGGTGCCAACTCCTATGGCATGCCGTGGGTAAAAGCAGGAGGGACTAGGTCACTTCCAATACCCTAACACTGCAATGATAGGGGATTAGTTGGCTATGCCTAGAGGATCACTGGAAGAGACAATGCCGCACCCTAAAGGGGGAGGCAAAATTCCTCACAGCCCTCGCCAGTCTGATGCAGGGACTCCAAATTTGGTGATGAGTGTGACTATTGGTAGAAGATTGAGACTTTCCAGCCAGGAGACATCTAGAAATCTTTAGCTATCTAGTGCCGGCACAAGTGGTTGCGGTTAGGAGAGATGCACTGTATTTTTTCAAGTACAACAGGCCCCTAAATGCACCTTGTTTATGAAGAGCACCGTGAAGACAAAGTTTTTTCCTTGAAAAAATGGGTATGTACAGCAAGTAACTGAGTAGCAGCAGCAAGGGAGCCCAGTGTGTTCATTGTGCTGCTGCCTAGGGAGCACGCGCAGCATTACCACCACCCCCAGAAGAAGCTTATGCTGCAGAAGCTGCCATTACCATATTGTCTTGCTTATAACATGCACTTCAATTTCCAGCAGCTGATTTTTGGAAGAAGGGTATGTTCTGTATGCAAGAAAATACAATAATTTCTCCATGTTGCAAAGGGAATTGAAATAGCCCCTTTGGTCCCCTTTAGTCCGGGATGTTTAAGGCGTCACATGCCGCTGCTTCCTGGGTGCTTATACTGAGCACATCTCAATGAAACCTCAACACTGGGCATTAAGTGTATTTTAATGCTCTTGCTGGGCTGAGAGACACTTCCTACATGCCTATAGACTGAGCTGTGAATAGCTATTTATCTATTGAAGTAGGAGGAGCTTTGTAAGGGCTCCACTGGGCTTTGAGCATTTTGCCTTGAAGGTTTCAGCCTTTCATAGACCTCGGTGCAGGCTCCAAGTGTTAACAGGGACAAGTGATTGCTGCCGCTCTTTTAAAAGGATGTTGGCCAATTGGAAATTTGATTTGAGGTCTGGAAAAAACAGCCTAAAAGAAATTCAGTCTACTTGCCTTATTAAGATAAGGTTTAGATTTCATTCAGGTCTATACAGGGGAACACATTTCTGATAGCAGAGGGTTCCTTACCAGTCCAAATGAAAAATGTTGGTTATCAGTTGTTCGGTTTTTCAGCAGACTCAGCTTTTTCTAAAGAAAGCAGACACTCTGGGCAAAAATCTTATTGCAACTGAAAACATTTTTTCTCTGCAAAACAGTTTCCATGGGGCTGGCTGATAATTTTTCATCCTTGCTTGGAAGTTGTCTGAGAGCAGGATTCCTCCACTCGTTTATACACAGAGCAGGATCCCATTTAAACAAATAACAGTTCATCATCATGCTCTCTTTGCTAGGCTGTTCATTGGCTGACTTCCTGAGAGTTGGTTTGCAAATGGTCAGTTTGCGCTTCTTGCAAAAAAACAAAAAAACAAAAAAAGAAAGACTGAGCAAAGAACGTGCACTGATCACTCCTGGGAACTGGCTCATGTAATTCATCAGCGTATGGGTATTAACTTGGATATATTTGGGGATTAGCGCTTGCTATCTGGACCTAATGGTATAAAGCCATTAATTCTACAGCCATATCTCCTGTTTGTAAGTGCTCCCGGGCCCCATCTTCGAAAGGTTATGGCTTGTAAACCAGGCACCACTGAGGCGAGAACTTTGTCAATTTATTTGACGCTCAATTTTCTTCTCTGTTTTAGGTCCATGAGCGGTGATTGCTGATGTGTTTGCATAGGAAACATGGTCATTCTACGACAGGTAAGCCGGACGTTCCTCAGACTTGAGAGTTGTTAATTCGTGGGCATTGCCTTGTTGGCTGATGAAAGGTCTGTTGTGAGGCCAGGCAAGTTTTATCCCACTTCGTTTCTTTTGGAGTGACCAGTTGAAAGATTCACATCTTGTACCCAATAGCCTTAGTCCTCGATTGATTTAGAGGAAATCATCGCTCTGTGTAGCCTGGATTAACCTCGCATGATGCTCTACTTACGTTGCTTGTCCAGGGCCAGATGAGGGTGGGTGGGGAAAGTGGGGGCAGATGTTTGCTATACAAAGAAAAGAGCACAGCCTTTCTTTGGAGAAATAATCAAGCCTGGGATTGACTCTGATTCGCACTTGCCTGGGGATTCAGTTCTGCTTTGGTTGTGTCTAATGGGGCATACTAAGAGAACTAAAGAGGTGGTCTAATTTACCATGATAAAGCAAAATATTCCGCAATAAAAGGACGTCAGCGTGTATTTTCACACATGACTAACCTAGCGAAATGGAGATGTTTGGCGCCATTTCGTGATGTGTATCGAAGCAATGCATAACGTGTATAAGCGCCCCAAGCTGCTTTCTAATGTAAAGGCTGCTGGACTGCTCTTAGTTGGGATATAGCCCTGCAAGGTCCCCTCTGCCCCGGGCAAACTCTTCAGCATGTGTTTTGGCCTTCAGAAGATGAGCATTTCAATACACTCGGGCCCTGGCCCAGAAAAGGACGTACTTCTGCAGGACCGGGGCAGAGCAGTAAGCACTGTGGTAGGTGGCCATGGGGAGCAACCTTCTCACCCTTGTCATCAAGAGCACCACTTGAAGCTTTTGATCAGCTGTGTCTAGAAGTGGCTTGTCAGGTACACCGAAGATCAAATGGAGTGCTCAAGTGCCTGACAGCATCGCATTGAGCTCCCAACAGCATCAGGCACGAGAAAAGCAGACTGTGCCTCGGTAGATTAGATAAGGGATTCATTTCTCCTTTCATCGGCATAAACCATGCGGAGCACATATTGCAAACTTGCCTTTGACTGATTTATTCGTGAGGCCCAGGAAAGTGGCAGCGGAAATAAGAACAGAGTCACCCAAGCTGTTGACGTGCAAAAACAGCGTGTCTCAGATTGGAATATTCCTGTTTTTTATGTTGCTGCAGACTGTCTCATTGAAAGGCTTTTGCGACCATCTGTTTGCATGTATTGGCGGAAATGTATAGAGTCATTCTAGAGGAGAGTTTATGCTGCCACAGTGAGCTCAGGATTATGTAGTGCCCCATATCTCTAGCACACTAGTAACTCTGCTTTGTGATTCTCCAGTGGTGTCCAGCAGCCTTTACGTGCTGGTCAAGGATGGGGAAGTCCTCCTATGGTTCGGTGTCACAAGGGCTGTGGCTGAGTAAAAGTGACATGGTTGGATCAATGTCCAGCAATCTCTGGCTATCAAAAAAGATTCCAGGAATCAAATTATAGCAGCCCCAGGGCTGCTCTTTGTTCTTCAAGACTGAACTGCCACTCATCTGCTAGGTCAGAGGCAGCTAACGGCCACCCACTTTTGTGGCCCTTATACTAGGTACCCATCAGTCCAGCCCAAGAATTCACTCCAGAGTATTATCTGAATCCAGATTTTGGATCCATGTTGACTTGTACTTGTAGAAGCCCCTCGGTGTCTGTCCTAGGAGGCAGCAGGTGTTGTATGAAAGCTAGGTTGGACTTTTTAGATCAAGGTGTGCTGTAAAACCTGGGCTGGCACTTCAAGATCTGCCTCTGCTCATGTGGTGTTGCAGTGATGTGGAACTGGAGCAAAACAGTGGCAATTCCAGCCCCTGGTCTGAAACCCAGAGGATGAATTTCTAGGATGCTTCAGTGGAATTGAAACCATAGCTGTTTTCCAGAATTAATATTGGAGTGCAGGGGAATAAGCCTTACGACACAGTAACCAACCATGGTTCAAATACCATCATAAGTGTATATGACAAACCTAGAAAATCTCTGATAATTCTTTTAAAATCCCATTGACTGATCTCATATACATCCTTTATAAAAGATCCCATTTACTTAAAGGGCTGTCATAAAGCAGTGAGGGATCAATGTTTAAGATTGCTTAAAAAAACAAAGAGCCAAAGTCCTTCCTCAGTTTTTATTTAGTAGTCTTTCGGGCAAAATTCTTAAATTTTAAAGAAGAAGCGTCCAAAATGAATAGGGAATTCAGGAAAAAGGAATTCAAGAGTCAGAAATGTGGTCACGCTTTCTAACATGACGAACAGCCTTCTTCCAAATACCATTTTGTTGACAGCTTTGCTCTACGTTTTCCATATTTCAGTCAAAATACTGAAAGTGATTTTCAAAAATTTACAGTTTCTTTATTATCACTTCTGTAAAAAAAAAAAAAAAGAATTTCCACACAAAATGTGGGACGTTTGACTTTTTGTTTCTTTCCAAATTTTTTGCAGGAAATATCTATTCCAGGTGGCTGGAAAATACTATGTTTTCATCTCATTCTACAACAGACTGAAATATATAAACTCTCCCTCCACTTCCGCAACCCAAAAACAAGGGTTTCTCTAACCTCCAAGTCGGACACTGTACTCATCTAGACACTCAAAGAAACTGTCCTTTTTTTGTATTTTACTTATAAAAGATCAAAAGTCAATCTTCTCTGTGATAAGCTAAGGTGGTGCTGGGAGTGTGAGCCGGGAGCCTTCTGTTTTAAATTCGTGGGGCCAGATCCCCAGCTGGTATAAATGGCTGAAGCTCATTTGATGTCAGTAGAGCTATTCCAGTTCATACCAGCTAAGGGTCTGCTCTGTGACTTATATCTGCACAATGTGTGCTCCAGGGAGCTGCTGGCTTTGGAATGGAGTTTATTTGCCAGCAAGAAGAAAGATAGTGTCAACAATTGAGTTCAATCAAAGGCTTTAGGAACACACCCATGCCTTTCTTTGAAAAACTCTAGTGATTTAACATTTCTTTTTTCCAGCCCTTGTTCCTGCCAGCTTATCTTTTCATTTCCCTTCCTTGAAAGAACCCTCATCCATGGCTTAAATACACATATGCAAAAAAAAATAAAATTAAAAAAAGACAAAGCTGGACCCTCAGATGGTGTCAGAATTTGTTTAGTTCCTATGATATCGGTGACATGATTCCCTTCATGGGTGTAGATCAAGTAGTTACTCAAATTCAAAAGTACTATACATTAGAAATAGACGTATGGAAATGTCTTGTTGGATCCGTCTTTGGGGAATGGTACATGGGACCAAAGTGCAAGTTGGGAGCATGCAGCTCTGAGTCAGAAGCACAAAACGTACAAGGCATGCCGTTCTCAGTACCTTCCACTCAAATAAGTTAGAAGAAAAGCAAATATTGTTCCACAGCAGAGGCATGTCTGGGAGCCAAACTTGTCAGCTTTAGTCACTGGCAAATTGGTCATGGCGACTTTCTTGGTATCCAGTGGAGAAAACTATCAAAGAGCAGGGCCTTTTAAATTCTTGGCAGGCTAAGCTGATGAGCTAGCTTGGCTCCACAGAACATCTGCAACTCTTCCTTGACGTTTGCAAGTTTAGTTTGAGAGCAGTACATTTCTTGATCTGGAAATACCATATTTTCTTACATACAACACACGTGTGCCCTCTCCCAATAAAAACCAACTGCTGAGACTTGCAATGCACATTATGTGTGAAATACAGTAAGAGCAATTTCTGCCAGTTACTAGCAAAAATGAAAGTCAAATCTGCACAGGGAGCAGGGCAAGGAACAGGCGGGGCTCCCTCACTGCCGCTGCCCAGTTCCTTAGGAAGGATCCAAGGAAGGATCTTTTTCTTTCATTCTACCTTTATTCCAGGCTGTGTTATAGTGACAGGACCAGGCCCCAGGAGTGGCTGTGATGCCTCCTGGTGGTCACACGACTCCTGCCCCATTCCTTGGATAACCTACATATTGTCTCTTCTGCCATACCTTGATGGAATAATTTGATTGTACAAAAGGGAGGCTGCCCCAAAGTCTCAGAGCAAGCCTTCATCTGTTCTTTGGCCAGAAGGTCCCTCTTAGACCCAGCTGATTGCAGTCCTGCCTCTCAAATACTAAGTTGGGCCCTTCTGGCCCCATCTGTGCCCCAGGGCACCAGTTGCTTTAAGAGCTATTTGTGGCCATGCCCATGCTTCACAGATGCCACTTATTTGCCAGTCACTCCCTTGTACAGGCTTTGGCCTCCTTAGCCTTAGCATGTAGGTTACTCTGGCTGTAGACCAGTGGCTTAGGCCCACTGGCTCTGGCCTTGCCTTGCCTTTCAGGCTCAGTCTCTTGATACCCCCCTGGCTGCCTACATTGCCCCCTCTGGGCTCTGGCTCCAGCTCTCAGCCTCAGGCCACCTGTGCCTTTGCTCCAGCAGGGCTCAAACCTCATGTGCCCCTCTGGCACCCCTGTGGCCTCCTTTCCTCCCCTTGTCAGCCACACCTGGTCCTCTGATATAAACTAGAATAAAAAGGCAAGCAGCTACTTTAAACTCAAAAGTCTGCAACTCTCCGCCCCCCCCCCGCCCCGGTCAGTAACTTCCCTTCAAGTTCCCAACAAGTCCCCTTTAGCTCTCTACTTGCATCTCTTGGGGACAGCCTGAGCAACAGTCAGCCCCTCTCTGCAGCCATCTTGCATCAGGAGTTCCCCTGACTGTAGGGCCAGACTAATAGGTGGATACATACACAGGATTGTTGTAACTTGTTAACCATCAGACTTTTAATTTCCTTTGACGGTATCTTATTCATTCACAGGGTTTTTAATAGATACATAAACTATAATGCTCCAGATGCCATTTAACTCCTGGTCTTTTGCTGAGCTAGCACAGTCCAAAGAAATACACATTTGGTGGTGGTGATGGTGTGAGGCGGGAAAAAACAACAGGATTGATGGTCCTGCGGGAGTGAGAAATGCTGACTGCATGACAGCAAAGTCGGACCTGATGCAGCGCTGAAGCTTGCACCACTCCATGCCCTTGTTCCCTGAACACGTGCAGTGTTAAACCCA